GACCACACAATACACCCTAGCAACATACTTCTATAACCCTAACAACACCTTAGCAACAACCACACAATACACCCTATCAACCCTTTCCAAATCCTTAACAACACCCTAGCAACAACATACAAACAAACAATACACCGTAGCAATAATTTCCAAATACCTAACAACAACATTTGACCACACAATACACCCTAGCAACATACTCCTATAACCCTAACAACACCTTAGCAACAACATACAAATACAAAATACACCCTAGCAATAACTTCCAAATGCCTAGCAACAACATGTGACCACACAATACACCCTAGCAACACACTTCTATAATCATAACAACACCATAGCAACAACATATAACCACACAATACACCCTATCAACCCCTTTTAAATGCCTGATAAGATCCTAGCAACAAATGCGACCACACAATGCACCCTAGCAATCACTTCCAAAACCTTAGCAACAACATATGACCACACAATACAACTACTTTCATATAATCATTGCAACACATTTGCAACAAAATGCAACCATTCACTACACCCCAGCAATAATTTCCAAAACCCTAATAACACCCTGGCAAAAACATGAATCCTAACAACCGTATTTAAAACACCTTAGCAACAAGCAAACAGCCCAGAAACCACTTTCTGAGTCCTAATAACACCCTATCAACAATATGCAACCACTTAATACACCCTAGCAACCACATCCAAAACCATAAGAATACCATAGCAAGAATCTACGACCACTTAATACACCCTAGAAACCGCTTTAAGGCACTTTTAGGCCATTTTTAATATTACCTTAGCAACAACATACAACCCATCAATACACCCTAACAACAACTTCCCCAAAACCTAGCAACACATCCTAGCAACCACTTCCTCAATCATAACACCATAGCAACAACATAAAACTGCTCAATGCACCCTAGCAACCACTTCATGAATCATAATAACACCCTACCAACGTCATAAAACCACTCAATACACCCTAGCAACCACTACCTGAATCATAACACCATAGCAACAACATACAACAACTCAATACACCCTAGTAACCACTTCCCAAATCCTAGCAAATTAGTAACAAATTCTAACCAAGTAACACCCGCTAGTAACCACTTCCTAAATCATAATAACACCATAGCAACATCATACAAAAGCTCAATACAACCTAGCAACCACTTCCAAAAACTAGCAAATTGGAAAGAAATTATAAAAATGCAACCTATCCTAGCAACCACTTCCTTACTCACAATAACACCATAGCAACAACATAAAACCACTCAATGCACCCTAGCAACCACTTCCAAAATCCTAGCAACACCATTCAAGCCTAGCAACAGCTCTCGCCCACTGCTGTATGATGGGATGGAGACAGCTCTCCAGAGTTCTGAAAGCTGCTGATCTCTTACTGCTTTTCTGCAATGATTAACACATCACTGCCATGAACACAGATTGTGTGTGTGTGTGTGTGTGTGTGTGTGTGTGTGTGTGTGATATTAAGAATCAGGCGTGTTGGTCTATTATGATGCTGTAATATAAAATAATGAAATTTGCTCCAGTCACGGATGCGGCTT